TCTTCCCGCCCCTGCCGCCCAGACCCCCGGGAAGACCCTCCTCGGCCCCCTCGGCCCCCTCTGCCCGCCCTCGCTCCGTGGCTGGGGGGCACCTGGAAGCTTCGCCCCCAGCCCCTGTCCCGTCAAGGCTTTGTTTCCTGGAGCTTATGAGTTGGACCAAGGCCACCCGTTAGGGGAACTGTCCCACTGGCACTGCCCGCCGAGGGCCCGTGGACAGCAGCGGCCTCTCCCCAGCTCAGCCCTTTGAGTACAAGGGGCAGGAAGTGATAGGGGTAGTGACTGTGGCCCGGTCGCTGTGGGAGTTCCCAGGGGACTCAAGGTCTGTGGCCAGGGCTCTGCAGGACAGGCTGTGGGGACCGCGCTGCTGGTCGCCTCACCGGGTAAAGGCGAAGACCACCTTCAGCTGACCCACTCTGTGAATCTGCACCACAGAGGCCCCCAGCTTCCTCTTGTCTCGGCCTGGCAAGAACCCCTGGGCGTCAGAAGCGACGGCAAGAATGTACCAGAACCCTGAAAACTGCAGAGAGGGTGCTGGGGAGCAGGGACACCACCCCCACTTCCTGGGGTGCCCTCCAGGGCCCCCAAGAGCCCACCGGACCACCGACCTTTGCCTGAGACCCAACCCACATCAGAGCCAGGGCGGGGGGTGGGAGATGCCCAGCTGCTCGGGGCCCAAGGTCGCACTGTGTGCAGGGCCCCCTTCCCTCGTGGGCCTCCCTGGGGCCCCCCTCCTTCCAGCCTACCCCTGGGCCCCCACTGACGTGCTGCTGCAAAGCTGTGCCCCCAGGCATGGCTGCGGTCTGTCAGCCCACGGCCGCCCCCGCTGGCCCCTGCCTCCGGCCAACCACCTCATCATTCCAGAACATGCTCTGCTCATTCCGGGACCCCCACCGCCTACCCAGCACCTCCAGGTAACCTCAGGCTGCACCTGTCTGGGGCCCTCTACCCCGTCCCCCCTCAGGGCTCCCAGCCCATGGGGCCCGTGGTTGTCTGCTAGGGTTTGCAGTCAGCCCCTCGGGGAGAGGATGGGCCGGCAGCGTCTGTGCGGAGCCTCCTGCTCGCCGCGGGCTGCCCATGGATTCGGGCGGCCACTTGAAGGGCGTCAGGAAACATTCTCCCAGCTGCCCCACCCTGTACCCCTGGCTCAGCGACTGCGCGTGCGTCTCACCTTGTTCCAGTTGAGGTTGTGGGACTCCCTGGGGAGCTGCTCCTGCAGCTGGGCCCCCACAGCCTGCACCAGCGCCGGGAGCAGCACCGGCCACAGCCGCCCCGGCCCCATCCTCATCACCTCCCTCAGCCGCACGGACACCGGCTTTAAATCTCCCTGCCCACCTGCCCTGCGTGGGCATCTGGCCAACCGGAGCCTCCAGACACCTGGGGTGGGCCCACTGGAAAGGAGGGGAATTTGGGCCCTCCCCTGGACACAGAGGGCCAGCGCTGGGCATTCAGCCCGCGGAGCTACACAGCTCCCAGGGTGAGCTGCCCGCCTGGGGGACCCTGAGGACGGGCTCCCTTGGAGCGTCTCCCCTGACAGTGAGCCCCCTGGGAGAGAGGCGTCACTGTGACTCACTGCGTGGGACGTACTGCGTGGAGCTGGGGCGTGGACGGTGCTGGGCTGACAGACGGGCAGGTGGGCTCGGGCTGCACTTGTGTGCACAGGTGCACCTACCTGTTCGTGTGCGCGTGCTCCGCCCCGGAGGGCGAGGCCCCCTCATGCACCACACCAGGAGCGACGGGCAGCGCCCGCCCTGCCTCTCGCCCCGCTCCCCCGATGGCCCTGCTCCTGCCAGGACTTCACGGGAGATGGAGAGGCTCGGGCCCCCTCCGCCCCTGACCTGCAGCCCCAGTGGGGAAGCCAAGCCCCCTGCCCTCGACACCACGGCACCTCAGCCCCGTGCCGGCTTCCCCGGCCCAGCGCCCCATCCACACTTTGTCCAGACCGCCGGGCCTTGCTCTAGCCCAGGGGGGCCAGCCAGCGGTTGGTCCTGGCCTCTTGGACCCCGAGAGACTCGGTGAGGGACACAGGTGCAGGCCAGCCCTGTCATTCCAGAGCTGGCTCTCCGCTGTGACCAGTCCCGAGAGAGCTCGGACCACCCCACCCGACTTGTCCTAGCTGGAGCCGTGAGAGGGCGGCCGTCTGCCCGACGCGACACACACGGAGGCATGGGCGGGCTCCGGCGTCCCTTTATTTGGGGCTGCAGCAAGAGGCCTAGGAGCAGCCGGCTCCGCGCCAGCCCCCGCCGTGGAGGGCAGCGCCTGGCCCCTTCCAACAGGACGGCGGGCACTGTCCCCTGCGGCCACAGCACTCACTGCAAACAGAGAAGATTATGGGGGATCCAGGGTTACCCCAAGAAGTGTCTGCCCCCCACCTCCGGTCCCCCCACAGCACTGGAGCCACTGGCCGCTCCGCCCCCGGGTACGAGGGCCCCAGGGCCCAAGCTCACCTGAGCCCAGGGAGCCCAGGGCGGCGCCCCCACGGCAGCTTACCTGGAAGGCCTTCTGTGCACAGGTAACTGGGGGGCAGAGAGATGGGACGTGAGGCAGCAGGTCTGAAGGGCGGTGGCCGTCCCCGCCCCGGGCCCTGCCCACCCCACCCACGGCCCTGCCTGTGATGGCCCAACTCTGGTCAGGGGTAGGTGACTCCTCGAGGACCTCCAGTCCTGCCCGACTCCCGAAGGCCAGAAGGGTCCCCGACACTGCCAGGGGTCAGCAAGGGGCCCCGTGGCCCCAGCACAGCCCTGGGCGTCACGAGCGGCCCCTGGCGACACTCACGGTCGGTCTGCAGCTGGGCCCGCTGCTGTGAGAGGAAGCCCAGCCCCTGGCTCCACTTGGTGAAGCGCTCCATGGCCTCCTGGCTGGCCCGCTCCGTCCGGCCTGCGGGGGCACCCCTGAGAGCCCGGCCTGGGGCAGGGGGGCCGTGCAGCAGGACTGGACGCACAGGGACCCTGCCCTTATCTGACCCCAAGGCCCTTCCCCCTCCCCCGGGGAGAGGGGGGAGAGGGAGCTGCACCCCTCCCTCCACGCAGGGCCGTGCCTCCTCCAGAGAGCGGGAGCAGGACTGGGGAGGCAGAAGGAAGGCGCGGGGGCCCCACTTGGCAGCTTGGTGAAGGGAGAGGGGGCAGCGGCAGCCGGCAGACCCGTGGCCCGGCCCCGGCCCCGGCCCCGGCCCACTCACTGTACAGCTCCACTGTGCTGAAGGCCTCGTCCCCCAGCTCCAGCTGGGTGAACACCACGGCGTAGGCTTGGAAGTCGGTGCCCAGCACCCGGTACTCCAGCACGCCCAGGGCTGGGAGACAGGAGCCGTGGGCAGGGGCCGTCGGGCCTCCCAGGGGCCCTGCCAGTGAGCCCAGAGCCCTCAGGCCCTGTGCCCACCCATGCCACCCTGTGCCACAGGCAGTGGTTGGTGGACGGCGGCCTCCAAGAGTAACCGGTGCGACGGGGCACGCTCCCCTGATGCTGTCCCCACGGGGCCGAGCGCCAGCCCCCCGGCACACTACAGGGGGTCTGGGGTCCCTGCCGGGCCTAGCAGGCACCTTCAAGCACCAAACCTTTGACAAACCAGGTCCCTTCACTTCTCGGCAGAGAGCTCCACTGAGGCCTCGGGGTGGGGTCGCCCCTTCCCCACCGGCACTGGCTCCGCCTGCAGGAGGCCAGAGGGCCCAGGGCTGCTGGCCTGACCCAGCTGGGACACGGACCCCGTCCCCGCGCTGCCCCAGATGAGACCGAGGTGGCATCGTCCTTACACGGATTCTCGAACACCCATCCAGAGTTCTGCCTCAGCAGCTCCACCACGCTCAAGTCACACCGCTCCAGCCTGGGCACGGGAAGAGGCCGCCGTCAGCGCAGTGTCCGGACGCAGGGCCAGAGGGGCGGGCCTGCCCGGGGCCTCCCGCCCGCCCGGGACCAGCAGGGGAGCGCCGCGGGTCATGGGGGGCTCGGGCACACGGAGGGTGGCCTGCGAGGCTGGGTGAAGAGACCCCACAGCAAAGGGGCCAGCGTTCCCCCAGGCGTCAGTGCAGGAGCCCGGCAAGCGAGCGTGGTCTCCGCGCAGCGAGGTGAGCTGGCGCCCACGGACCCGAGGAAGGACAACCAGGAAGACCCTGGAAGGGAGGGCAGCCAGCGAGAGCGACAGGGCGAAGAAACACGGTGGGGGAGGCAGGGCAGGAAGTCCAAAGGGGCGTCGAAGTGCATGGGTGTCGTGCGGGCCAGGGGCATCTCGGGGCGTGCCGCGAAGAGGACCCTGGGTGGGCGGTGCCGGGCGATGGGCAGCCATCTGGGAAAAAAACTAAGCCGAACCCCGCGTTTCCCCAGCGTGAAATCATTTCAAACGCCTCAAAGACGCCAGACGCCCTTCGGCACAGGGAGCGGGAAAGGGCTTCCTGTGTCGCAACCCCAGGCACCCCAAAAAGAGAAGGCGGGTGCGTGCCTCGACACACACACACACACACACACACACGCACAAAACCTGCGTGTCAGTTAAAACTCCATGCTGTAATAAAAATGACAAACCGGGCTATGTATTTGCAACTCATTTTTATCACAGACAAGTGGCTAACGTCCCTAACATTTAATGGTTCTTACAAATCAGTAAAAACACACCCAAGAGAAAAATATGGAATCGATATGCACAGACAGAAGGAAACACAAAAGGCTCGTTAACAGACATCAAGATGTCCCTCTACGCTCATAGTTCCACAAAGGCACACACATTAACGCGGGGCCACCTGTCACTTATCCGATGGCAAAGGAGAGTAAGTGAATGCTCCGCGCAGACGCCAGTTGGGGACCGGCCAAGCGTCTGTCCACCGCAGGGCATGGAAGAAAGCCTGCTGGAGCATTGCACGGCTCTTAAAAAGAGGTCTTCAAAAATGTAGCATAGAGTCTCTGTGTGACCCCGCCACCCCCCGGCTGGGTGGACCCCCCAAAATAGTTGAAAGCACCGTGTCAGAGAGAGGGAGCTGCACACCCATGTTCTCTGCAGCAAGAGTCACAGCAGGCAAAAGAGGGAAGCACCCCAGTGTCAGTCGGGGAATGAGACACGTCGTGGGGCCCGCACGGCACACGGACGCTCAGCCTTGGAAGGAAGGAAGTCCTGACACCGGCCACGGCGCGGATGGACCTGGAGGACATGGTGCTCGGGAAACGGGCCAGTCACAGAAGGACACGTCCCGTGGGCCCCCACTCATGGGAGGTCCCCAGGGGGTCAGATCCAGAGACAGGAAGTGGGAGTTTAACAGGGACAGAGTTCCCGTCTGGGAAGATGAAAGGCCTGGAGAGGGTGGTGGTGACGGCCGCACGCAGTGTGACTGCGCCCGATGCCGCCCAGCCGTGCATTTGCACCTGGATAAGAGGGTCCATTTCATGATGTGTATTTTACTACCATTCAATTTTTTATTGTAACTTTAATGAAAATAAAGACAAAAGAGAATAAAAGCTGTTTTAAAAAAGGGCAGAGACCGTGGTCCGACGGGGAGCCGTCTCCAGCACCCGAGGTTAAGTGACCCACGGGCGCTTGTGCCTGACCGGCTCTGAAGAGGGGCGGGGCCTGCTGGGGGCGGAAGGGCCGCTGCCTTTGACTTCTGAGCGCTGGAGTGTAATTCGTCAAAGGCCAACGCACGACGCTGGCCTCCTGTAAGCCCTGCCGTGACAGTCAGCCGGCAGCGGGGCCTGGCACTCTGTGCCCTCCCACCCGGCATCTGGCCCGGGGCTCCAGGCGGAGGCCAGAAATGCAGCGGCTTCCCCAGAGCCGGGATCCCCAGACGCCGAGCCCATGTTTGGGTGTTTTATTCCGCCAGCCCCACTGGGACCCACCCGGTACGTGGCTTTGGGGCTAGCACCCAGGCTATGTGAGACCTGTGCTTGCCCGACTCAGCCACGCGACCAAGCCCTGACTTTGTGGGGCTCACCGGGCCTGTGGCCTGCTCTGCCTGGGGGCCAGGGGCCCACTGTCTTCCGTAGGCGGACTCCGGTGCGGGACAGAGGGCGCTCGGGGAGCATGCCACCCCCGGCACGCAACAGCACGGCCTCCCCCACGTGAGGGGTGGTGAACCCCGTCACACAGCCCCATCAGAGAAGCCCCTGGGGCCCCGGGTTACACGGCCACACCGCATAGCACTGCCCCATCCCCCAGCACCCCACCAGCCATGTGCGTGGTCCACTCCCCAGTCGGGGTCGGCTGGGGCTCAGCCTGACCCCACAAGTCCGGTTTGACAGGTGGCCTCCGAGGGGTACGTTCTCCAGAGACCAGGGCCCCAGCAGCTGGTCAGCAAAGGGGCTGCACGAGGCAGAGGCCTCTGCCGCTCTGATCGGGGTCAGCCAGGCTGCGGGGCGGTCAGAGGCAGTGCCTGGGGCGAAGGCCCAAGTCCCACCTGGAAGCCCCGGGGTTCAGAGCGGCTGGGAGCAGAGCCCGGCGAGGGGCTCCGTGGAGCAGCTGAGTGGCGAGCCCTCTGCGCCGGGCCGGTGGGACGCAGCCCGCCTGCCCAGCACGGCCTGGCGGGGGGCTCGGGCGCGCGCGCCTCGCTCACCTGTGCCGGGAGGACAGCACCCTGAGTTTATCCTCCGGAGTGAGGGTCACCACGACCCCCTCGACGTTCTTTGTGGCCTTCTCCACCGCGAAGCCCTTTTCACTGGAGGCCACGGCGAGGACGTACCAGGGCCCCAGCAGCTGGACGGGCAGCGGTGGGTGAGGGCCCGGCGTCCAGCCTCGGGGCTCCGGCGCCCCACCCCCGCGGCCAGTGGGAGCCCAGAGGCTGTGCGCCCCACGAAAGGCTCCTGGCCCCCAGGACCGCATGCCCTGGCAGGTGGCAGCCACAGGAGGGCGCTCACCTTCTGAGGGTCCAGCCTCCCCAGCTTCACGGCCTGGGCCCCGGGCCCCAAGGCCACGGCCAGCAGGACGGTCAGCAGCACGGCCCTCATGCTCCCCACGGCCCTCATGCTCCCCACGGCCCTCACAGCGGCACACACGCCCTCTGGCCGCTGAAAACCCGTTTATATGGCTCCAAATGCGTCGCTGTGGGCGGCCAGTAACCGCCAGGACACCTGTCCAGCCCCGCTCACCACCTGTCCAGGCGGTGAAATGACCCAAGACGGAGGGGGCTTATTCGGTGGCGGCCTCTGTGCCCAGACAGCGCTGGAGCGCGGGCAGTGGGCCCGGGGGAGTGTGCGCCCTGCTACCCCGTGCCCTGCTGACCTCTGCATCTCGACACTTGCTTCCACTCAGAAGTTTCCAGAATGAGCGCTCTAATTCCAGGCCACCCCAGTCCCCCATCTCCTCCCCTCCCCAGGGGCCCAGCACCCTCCCGGGCTTGCTCATCCGGGAAGGCCGGGGACGATGCTCTGGGGCCCAGGCTGGCAGCAGGCCAAGGTCAAGCCCCAGCAGACGGGCGAGAACAAGCAATTCTTTCAGAGGCTGTGGTTCTGGATGTCTCTTTTTTTCAATCATTAAAAATACAAAACGTCTCCCGAATGGAACAAAGAGCTCCCACTCCGTCCTGGCCCGCCCACCCTCTGCTCCGCCACCCCGGCCCCCACACGCAGCCGGCACCCCAGCCCGGATGCATGTCCTGCTCTCCCAGGCCCCACTCCACCCATCCAGACCTGACCTCTACGGCCAGCCTCGGCCCCATCACCTCCCACCTCTGCCCTCCAGGACCCCGGCCGGGACCTCAGAACTGCACACCTCCCAGGGCCCCCCAGGAGCAGAGGGCAGAGGGCTCGGCACCCAGAATCTGGGGCAGGTGGCTGGGAGGCCCCCCCGGGGTGGGCGGAACCTGCGCACCACATCTCCCAGCGCCCCCGGCTTGGCTTCCAGCCTGCTGACCCCGAACAGGCAAGAGTGGGAGGCGAAGGGAAGACGAAGCCATTTGCCAGGCTTTCTGGGGGGGCCTCTGATCCACCACCACGGCGGCCCCACCAGGGAGAGGCCCCCGTGGGTAGGGGAACACAGGCCAACCAGCACCCCACAGACTCGGCTCCCCACGCCCTCGGCGCCCAGGAAGTCTCAGGCCTTGACCTTGGATCAGGCTGGTCCCCGACTGCCGGCCTCCCAGACGCCCGAAGGAAGGAGAGAGGAAGATAAAGACATCGCCTCGTCTTCGGATTAACCCTGTGCATCCTCCTTTCGGTACCGCTTCCTGACAAGGCGGCGGGTGCCAGGACAGGCCGGGTGAGCGGCACGCGCCGGCCCCCGGCCCCGGGTCACAGTCCCCATGCCGCCGCGTCTTGTAAAGCACACAGGACCCTTTCTCAGTCTGCGGGGCCGGTGTCCTCACCTGGCGAGGGGGCTCTTGGGGTCCCATCTCATGCACAGGGTCTCACCTTTATGACCTCGGCACCTCCCAAACATCCCACCTCCCAGTACCATCAAACTGGGGGTCAGGATGTCAACTCCTAAGCTTCTGGGGACACAGACATTCGGAGCATGGCACAGACCAAAACCGGCGGAGATTCCTGTGCTTGACGAGCCGACAGCCACGTTTGAAACCATATTGTCTTTTCCCAGCACAGCTGGAAACCATGAAAACGGAGTCTGCACAATCCTCTGAAAACTACGTGGCTCCAGAGGAGGAAAAACAGCACCAGAAACGCCACATTATCTCCAAGTACAAAAGCCGCACGCCCCAGGCGCCTCGTTTGAGCCTCTGTGACTTCGGGAGGCCTGTGACCCCCGCGGAGAGAAGACAGGAGGACTGGAGACGGGCTTAGCGGGCCACCAGAGAAGGGGCCGCTCTGTCTGCCTGCCGGACGCCAGGACAGAGCAGCACCATCGTGGGACAGGGCCGCGGGGTCAGGCGGGGCTCCAGGAAGGCATTGCGGTCACTAAGGGGTGGCAGTGTCGGGAGGGCGAACGTCACACAGACCCCCAAACGCCACCCATTAAAGAGAGTTCACTGCCCTGCGTAGTGGGTGCGTGCGAATCAGGGGTGTTGTAAGCTGTCCATAGTGGGTGCGTGTGAATCAGGGGTGTTGTAAGCTGTCCATAGTGGGTGCGTGTAAATCAGGGGTGTTGTAAGCTGTCCATAGTGGGTGCGTGTGAATCAGGGGTGTTGTAAGCTGTCCGCCCTGCTGGCCCGTCCAGGGAACGCAGACTCGGGCCGTCCGCACGGGGCTACCCCTGGGGAAGCCAGCACCAGAGGAGCCTTTCGCCCCACAGAAACCCCCCTGCAGGGCCGGCAAGCAGAAAACCGAGGCGCATGCTCAGAACCGAGCGAAGTGCTGACGGCAGGGCGAGAGCACCTCGAAGGAGCAGTTCAAAAGGGCAGAAATGAACAAAAATAAGGAAAAAGTGAACTGAGAATTGCTTGTGCTTAGGACACGCGTGGACGACGGGGTCTAATGGCCCACGCTTCGGCCTGTCCGGGCAAACGGTCGATGCCTTTCCGGAGGGGCGGGGGGGGAGAGAGACAAGCAGCAACATGTCCAGAGCGACGTGTAACTCGAGCAAAGCCGTCAGACCCTCACTGCCTGCAGCAGGCCTGGGTGCGGCACCCACGGCCCACCCGGCCGTTCCCACGTCGTCCTCCCTCTCGGAAACAGACAGCAAAACACGTGCGGAAAACGTCTGTTTTCTAAGCCACAAAGAAAGCATCAGCGTGTTCCGTAAAGTGGAACTTGTAAACAACCTTCTCCGACGATAGGACAAAACTAGGATGTTTTCACATTTTCTACTTAAAAAAAAAATACTCTAGGAGGAAAGAAATAATACGAACCGAAATTACAAAATGTATGTAAAATAAGCGTCATAACAAAAAAATAAAACAACAAAAAAGAGAAAAAAATAAATTAAAATAAAATAAAATAACGACATCACAAAGAAGTGACCAGAGGAAAAACGTCCCAGCCTTAAACATTTGTTTATCACTCAAAATGAGAGAATGACGATTTCCCAATGTGAAAAGCAGACAGACAGCTCACCACGATGTTCACACCTGGAATTTATACAACGTTACCAGTCAACAAATTGAATTTTAAAAAACTAGATAAAGAACGAAAAGTCAACTAAAGGAAATCACAGGAAGGGCACAACAATGATAAAAGCAGAAGATCGTAGCTAAAGAATAGAAAGTAGCAAATAGAATGAATGAATCGAAATCCTTTGAAAAATTAGCAGGAGCGGCGACCCACTAGGTAACATGAATGAGAAAGAGACCGTGACACACAGCGAGAAATGACAAGAGGCAGGGAGATGGTTTTTGGGTCAGGAGGGAAATATTTCATCAACAGAAAGTACTTTGCTGACCTCTAAGCAAATAACTTTGACGTTCTAAATAAAATGGATAGATTGATGGGAAAATTCAGTTTGCCAAAATTTACCCTATTAGACAGAGAAATAGATGATAGGTAGGTAGGTAGGTAGGTAGATAGATAGAAAGATAGATAGATAGATAGATAGATAGATAGATAGATAGATAGATAGATAGATATAGATGATAAATGCAGACAGATAGACATAGATGATAGATAGATGATTGATGATCGATGATTGATAGATACATAGATGGATGATAGAGAAGTAGGTGACAGAGACACCAGGCAGAAGCAAAGCTCTGAGGGCCTGGACGTGCAGCCTGTGCCGCCCACTCTGGTGCTCAATGGTGACCGCTCGGGAGCAGACCGACCGGGGAGCGGGTGACAGCTCACGGTGTAACAGCTGCTCTTTGCCTTTGCGAGCCCGGCCCGGGCCTTCCCAGCATCCTCCTGGCCGCCTCCTCCATGTGAACCACAGGCCGCATTTTTCCATTTCTAGGGACTTCCGTGCCGGACGTTACTGACTTCCACCGCAGAAGCCTTGGCTTCCGCTGACACCTCTGGACGGTGCTGACTTTTGTCCCCCGAGAATTCCCAAGCTGCAGCCCTCACCCCAGTGTGTGTTTGGGGTCAGGGCCTTCAGGGGGTGACGAGGCTAAGTGAGCTCGTAAGGGTGGAGCCCTGCCTGGCAGGCCCGGTGCCCTCAGGGAAAGGGGGCGCCAGAAGCCTGTCCCCTGGGCACAGAGAAGGGCCATCCAGGACACAGCGGGAAGCCCGCCGTCCACAAGCCAGGGGGTCCTCGGCAGACACCAGCCCTGCCAGCACCTGATCACAGACGCACAGACTCGGGAACTGTGACAAGACAAACTCCTGCTGTCTCAGGCAGGCCAGCCTGAGGGGCTCTGTGAAACCAGCCACTTCCCACCAGGCCAGGCCCCTGGCCTTGCTGCAAGCTGCGGCCGCACAGATCTGTGGGACACCCCAGCACCCCTTCCGGTCACCATTCAGCCTGCAGACGTGTCTCCTGTGGTCTTTCTGGGACTTCTTTTGAGGTCTGTTAAGGCAAGTCGCGGGCAGACCCTCGGGTGGTGCTCACTCCTGCGGGGCCACCCGGGCTGACTCCCCTGCCCTCAGCACTGATGACCTCAAGCATGAGCCTCAGTCACCCCACCCTGGGCCACGGCCCTCTCTGCCCACCAGTCCCGACCCCAGTGGGTAGAAGGAAAGAGGGTGACAGCGCAGGTCATGGGTGAGAGAGCGCGTAACGGGGACCCAGGCCCTGCAAGGGGCGGGCTGACCAGGCAGCAGGGGCGGGGCCCGGACGGACAGGGCGGGGGGCTGTCACCCCGCGTCTGAGCCCCTTCGGGCCGAGGTGCAGCAGGGGTGGCATCCGTCACCGTCACGCTCGGAAGCGATGTCACAGGAAGCGGCATAGACCACCCACAGTCAGGTGTGCTGTTGACCGGGGCAGCCACGGAAGACGCACCGCCCCACCCGCCACCCCCCGGCCCCCAGGAAAGACGTGGGGCAGCGGGTTCGGTGGCGGGTTTATTTGGAGCGGGGCAGGGGCAGGAGGGCGGGCTGGGCAGTCGCGGCGTCCCGGCCCGGCCACGGGCTAGATCAGCTCCTGTGACACAGAGGGCAGGACTCAGGAGCCACTCAGGCGCCGC